AAGGAAGACGAATTACGACCGTTACACGGCGTAGGCCAGATCGAAGCGACAGACTCGCCGTATCACACTATAACAATTTGGTGGTGACTGTGAGATTCGAATACAACGGCGACGCTCACTACCCCCCCTCCCCCCGATTTTTCTTTTTTTTTAGCGAACATAATTAAAATATATACGATAATCAGACGCGCAGTACCACTCATTTTATTTCTATTCTCTTCACATACAATTACAATCGCGACACTCGCTACCCCCCCCAATATTTTTTTTTTTTACGACCACATTTAAGTTTCCTTGTTTAGCTTCAGTATTTTATTAATTAAACTTTTGTTTCTCTTCTCTTGGTCCTAAAAAAAAAAAAAAAAAAAAAAAAAAAAGGGAGGAAGAGCAAAGAAAAATACATACATTACCGAACCTCCGGTCCTCTTCTAAATCGAGGCTGAAAATGAACGACGAACAATTCCAGCAGTTTATGAAGGGGGTATTTCGATCATTAGACTTGGTGGCAAGCAGACAAAACGATGCACGAGAAGACGACTCAATAAGAACAAGAACATTCGCCGGGAAAGAAGATGACAACCCAATAGAATGGTTAGAAGGATTTGAGAGAATGGCAGGAGTGAATGATTGGAACGAAAGGAAAAAGCTCAGGATGGTCCCGGGCTACATGGTGGGCCTAGCGGCTGAGTGGTACTGGGAAAACAAGAAAAGAATCTCAGAGTGGAAAGACGCCAGGTCCCCTGATAGGAGCTTCTACCACGCACTGACGGAACACTTCGCCACCTCGGAAAGGCGACATAAATGGCAAATAGAGTTAAACGAGCTCAACCAGAAAAAGGAGGAGAAAGTCGACAGCTACGTGGTAAAGTTTAAACGCCTACTTGCAAGGGTCGACCCTGAAGGAACGATCCCCATTGACTACGTGGTAAGGATGTTCTTGAATGGACTAAGGGGTAACACTGCTACGTTCGTTACTATGACGTCGCCGGAAACACTCACAGAAGCCATTACGGCGGCGCGAAAGGCAGAAGCTGGAAACTACTACGAATGACAAGCACAGGGAAGAGAGAGAAGTGTGACGAAGAAATTAGAAGATGACATGGAAAGGATAGAACGGCAAATTCAGGAATTAACATCAAATTATGTGACCCTAAGAAAAACACCCCGACTAAAACAAGGGAAACGGGAGTGGAAGAGCATGATCTGTTACTAGTGTGGGAAGGAAGGGCATGTAGCCCGACAATGCATGGAGGGGAAGATGTTGAAGGAGCCACAAAAAACCATGACTCCAAGGATACATTACTGCTATGAGGAAGTGAAGACGAGCAGAACGGACGGAGAGGAGGAAGCATACACTGTGGGAGACGTGTCGCGAACCACAAGGAAGAGAGGAAGACCTGGATGCCAGGTAGAGGAAAGCGTGAACGAACAACTGAAAACATCAAAACTTATAAGGATACGGGAGCCAATGGTAGTGGTGGAACCTCCCAGGAAAGCTGGTGCTACCAAAAAACCAAAACGGAAAAGGATGCCCTCCGTGGTCGATTCGTTAGAACTATATGACATATCCGACGACATTTTATCACTAACATCCACCGCAACTCTGGGGCAGTCACTAAAGTACCCTGACCAACGATGCAACCTCTCGAGGATATTGAAGCGACCCCTACCACCAACCGAGGCAAATTATGTGAGTTCTGCAGGGGTACCCAAGACCACAGCCGTTAAATGTTATATACAAATTGCAAACAAAATAGTAGTTACGGTCCTAGATACCGGAGCAGCAGTGAGTATTATAACAAAGAAGTTGTTGGACAGGCTCCATCTGAAGATAGACCAAAAATCTACCTCTGTCGTCGTCACCGCTAATGGAACCAGAGAACGAACTCTGGGAAAGGTAGGAGAGGTGGGCATCACAATTCAGGGAGTAACCATCCCCACAACATTACGGGTGATCGAATCTAGGAACGAGACACTGCTGCTGGGGACAGATTGGTTCCAGAGGGCCAGGGCTCGGATTAATTTAGACGAAAACAAGATCTTCCTAAAATACCAGGGGAAAAAGTTGGAAGTGCCTATCTCGCACAATGGCATTGAGAAGCTAGCGCAGCCAGAGGAATTAGAAGAAAACGACTGCGGAAGCGAAGATATGTTCGAAGGGATTGAGTACGAGAGTGAAGAAGTGAAAAAAGAGGAAGGATACTATACGGGAGATTTGTCGGAAGGTAAGGAAAGGGTCGACTGGGAGGAGATATCAAGCCCTGCGATATATCTAACTGCTCTAGAGGAAGTGCCGACATGGGAAGAAGAAGGAGTAGAGTACACCGACGAAAAACATAAGATGGAGTTGGACAACCTAACAAAGGAGGAGCAAGCAGAGGTAATGAAACTCTTCGGAAAAGAAGGAGAACTATTCGCGGAAGAAATGAACGAGCTCACTCAGACCAACGTAATCTGCCACGAGATTAATACTGGTGACGCGAAACCAATCAAACAGGCACCATATAGAATGGCGCTGGATGAACACGAGTATGTAAAGAAGGAACTGGCAAAAATGAAGGACCAGGGGCTCATTACAGAATCCAGGAGCCCGTGGGCATCCCCAATCGTAATAGTACCAAAGAAAAATGGCAAGCGTCACCTGTGTGTCGACTATAGAAAGGTGAACGCGGTAACAAAAAAGGACGCGTACCCTTTGCCGCGAATCGACGATCTAATTGAAGCCCTGGGGCGAGCAGCGTGGTTCTCGAATCTTGATCTCGCCAGTGGATACTGGCAGGTGCGAGTCCACGAGAGGGACCGCGAGAAAACAGCTTTTACAACGAAGTTCGGGACATACGAGTTTCAGGTGATGCCATTTGGACTGTGCAACGCCCCGGTGACGTTCCAGAGACTTATGAATAAGGTGTTGTACGAGCACATCGGTGAATTTGTGGCTGTCTACTTGGACGACATCATCATATACTCGCAAACGTTCCCGGAACATGTTAGACACCTAACCTGTGTCTTCGAAGAACTACGCCAAGCCTCACTAAAACTAAATGTCGAGAAATGTAGGTTCTTCTTGCCGAATGTGGGATTTTTAGGACACATTGTGGGAAGGGATGGTATTCGACTGGATGAAGATAAGATCATAAAAGTAAGAAATTTTCCGGCCCCGGGAAACGTGAAACAGCTGCGAAGCTTCATCGGCC